GCTGTAAAAAAAAAAAAAAAAAATAATAATAATAAATAAATAAAAAGGCAAAACAAAACTGACTTCTCCAGCCTTCCTGCGGCAGCTTCTCCTCTTCACACATATCAGTGATCCCTATCTAATACAAAGGGCTCAGCCTCTGCGTGGCTGCCGTGATGACCCGTGCTCATGAGGAGGCGAGAGCTGATCATTTTGTTCCGATGTAGTGAGCCATGACAGGCAGCAGGGCAGGAAGGAGGGGAAAGGGAGGAGAGGAAGGCCACTGAGGGACCCACCAGGACCAGACCGAGGAGGGGGAGGTGGAGGGTGGGGACGGGGGTCGGGGGTGGGGGAGACCAGCCTTTCCTGCTGCTTCCTCCCAGTGCTCTTGGCCAGCTGAGCAATCAGGTCACCTCTCTTTCCCATGTCGCTTCTGGTCAATAACCCTCCCCACCCCCACCTACACCCGTCCACTCCATGTCCTCGCAGAGCCACCGCAGCTTGCAGCTGTTCCGATTCTTCTTTTTGATGGGATTTTGTTTGTGCCTCCTCGTTGACCGGCTCCCTCTCTGCCTAAACAAACGCAAACACGGCGAGGGCCCATTAAAATCATCAGGGTCTTTCATGTGGGAGACACGCAGCAGAGGAGGAGCCCGGTCGCAGGGTTGCTCCCATGCAAACACGAGACTGTATGCAAAATCTAATTTGTTCCCTGGAGGTCTTCCTGGTGTGATTACAAAAAGTGGAAAACACCTGGGAATACAGCCACGGAGAAGAGGAGAGGACTTTAGCCTTCAGGTAAAAGGTTTAACAAACAGTTTGAAAACCACAAGAAGATTTCCATTATACTGTTCCAATGGGTTGAAGTCCATTAAATAAAATGCTGGATTAAACCGAGTCATAGACTAACGGCGCATACATCTGTTGCTGCCCACTGCCTCTCAGGTGGCTGAAGGAAGAAGGCTTCTACACTCCACCCTTGTATGCAACCCCACATTTTATCTATAATGGAAATAATTATTGCGTTGCTATGTCAAATAGAAGCAATTCAACCTTGCATAACAATTTTAAATAAACATGTTTGTCCAAAACCATCCTCCACCAGATCATTAAAAGACATAACCTCACACTCATGTACTCTGCCAAATGAGTTTATCTTCTGTTTATTTTCTGAAATTACACTCTAGACATGTCTAGACTTCTACGTCTATGTCCATTTTTTTTTGGATTCACATAACCACATTAACATACAGTAAATTATGAATAGACTGTGGAAAACCACCGGTGGCAGGTACGAAATATCTTCCTGGTGGGTACAAATGGACATAAAGTCATTATGAAGCATTAATAACATTTAAAAAATGGCTACAAACTACCAAAACTCCAAAAATTGTGAAATGGCAAAGAGGCACAATCACTTTCTATAGAGGCTGATACTGATTTTAGGATTTTGTTTAAAGTTTGATAGGCCTATTAGGATTCTGAAGGATTCCCATTTTAATTCTAGAAACTATAGCCAGAAAGGTCCTTAATAAAGGCAGCATTTAAAAAAAAAAATCAAGCTTGTTCCTATTTATTAATATAGGAAAAATCATGATTTTATCAGTAATTGGCCCGCTGATCACCATTCAGATCCAAATTAGGAAAAATTGTCTGATTCAGATTTACGCCCGATAAATTTGTGCTGATTGTTGTCGTCACTTTCTAACTACAAATTTCAGCGGGTTTCATTAGCATTTCATTTAATACGTAAAAAGCAGAGCATACATGTGAAATTATGGAAATTCCCGGCCCATTTCTGGTTGATTGTTGCATCTCTAATTCTTTCTCGAAGGTTATCATACCGTTGAAATCCCATCTTGGCCCCACGCCCGATCCAGACCAGCAAATGTCCCGCATTTCTTCTTCACTCGCACAAGCAAAGGCTAAGGAGGAGAGCAGAGAGTACAAGAGCTTGCCTTCTGACCCCCTGCAGAACCCACCGAGTACGGCTAGCTCTCAAAGCAAAAGCAGCAACTTGTGCTGCAAACGAGAGCTGAATCTACGGCGAATTATGTTTCGAAAAAGCAAAAATACCGGCTTCTTCCTGGGGGCGTTTGAGGAAAATCTACTGCAGCACTCGCTCCATGCCAGGAGCAGAAACAGACGGAGGGAGATGAGATGATGCTGGTTGACAGTTAATTCCCAGCTTTGATTCATCCCAACGCGGCCACGAGGAAAACTCCCTCGTACTCCAGGAGAGAGCTCTGGCTGGAGTCTTTATGTAAGAGACAGATTAGATCATGTCTTGGCCTGTTCACAGACCACAGATATTTACATTATTGGCTCAAATGGCATCCAAATGAGTGCATCATACCCTCATTGAGGACAGAACAGGGCATGCCCACAGCTTTGGCACATTCTCTCCGTTTTAAAGCGAGATGAACAAGATATGCCCGGTCTTTCTTCTCAGGTAATGGATATAAAAACGAGCAATCTCGAAAGATTGAGTAAATTCCGGCAACGCTGATCCGCTGAAGCCGAGAATGAGAGATAAACAGATTTCGTCGGCGTGTTTAGCAATGTGACGCTACTGTTTCCTGACCTTGAAAAAGCTGCCACTTATGAAAAGCTGTTTTGGTACGAGAGACACTGATTATAGCCCATTTCTAGGCCAGCACATAATCAGTGTCCAAGTTCCAAATCAATGACCTACTTCCAAGCACACACACACACACACACACGCACACACACACACACACCCATACATACGCTGCAAGGCAAACTCTCTCTTACTAGCTTAATGTGGAGAAAGACGGGAAAATCAAAACTGGCCGGCATTTTTGTTTTGATCTGAAATTTTTTATCCGAGAGTGGATATTTAAAGAGCCAAATGAGGGCAGCGTGATTTCATAACGGCAGCGTGTGGCCCTTCGCAGAAACGGGACGGTGGCAAGTGGGGTGGGCCGGGTCAGCGGAGTCGCCAGCACCGGAGATTTACCACTGAGAGCAGTTCGGATCTGACCTGGATAAAGTGCAAAAATTCTGGCTTCCGCAGCACTCCTGCGGAGTGAGGAAATGTGAGCAGCGCTTAGTGAGGACAGAACTGCACAGAGCGTAGCCCCAGCATGGCAACTCTTAATCCAGAGCGGTCTATTTACAAACCAATCCCCCCCCCAAAAAAAAACTCCACCTACCCGTCCAACACTGCTGCCTCCAGCTCCCCTCGAGCAGATCCAGCATCACGCACCCATGTGCCATTCAGCCATGCAAACAGAGGGAAGCATGTTTTGTCGCCTATAACCAAAAAGGGGGCTGCTATTAGACTCTGACGGCATGATATCCCAGAGTAATACCGTGGTTTCTGCAGTGTCGCAGTGTTTAACACAGAGATTTTAAATTATATTGCGTGCAGGGTTTGTACTGCCAAAGAATGCTCGAAATGTAATAATTGTCAGCCTGTTCAGCTGATTTGTTGGAGTCTCCTTGCAGTAGATTCTCGCACCTGAAACTGATGACAGCACCTAATATGCTAAAGGCGACAGAGGAGAGAGAAAAACGTGGATTTTATAGTAAAGGATATGCCTCCTCCACATCCTATGAATGCAAGTTGGATATGTTGTGTGTGTGTGTGTGTGTGTGTGTGTGTGTGTGTGTGTGTGTGTGTGTCTGACATTTGGTTTTATTATTGGCCATTTCTAAATAAACTGCACAAAATGTGGGCCACTAATATGTATAAATTTATATTTTCTCTTTGGTTTTTCTTTTTCTTGACAACACCCCCACGATGCAGCACGGCAGCGGCAGCATAATGATGCGGGAATGCTGCTCTCCATCTGGGAGAGGGAAGCTGTTTAGGCGATTCCAGGAGAAAACCTGCCACAGTCTGCAAAAGACATGCGACCATGGTTGAGGTTCGACTGAACGCGTGCGTGAACTGTCAGGCTTTGAATGGCGCCGAGCTGGTAGAGGCATGCCCCAAAAAAATGTGCCACACTTTTGAGATTTTCATTTGTCAAAAAGTCTTGAAATAGTTTGCCGATTTTATTCCGTTTGCAATTACGTGCTACCTGGTGTTGGTTTATCTCATCAGATCCCACGTTTGTGGTTGTAGCGAAGCAAAAAGTGGAAATCAGCAGCAGATAGAGACTTTTGCAAGACATCAGCTAATGATTTTTTTAAATTTATGACTCAAAACGCCTTTCAGTAAGTTAGAAAAACCTTTTCAAATCCATTTCCCATCACTTTTGAGCAGCGCCTGACAGATGTGTGACTTGTGAGTAAAAACATCCACATAATTGCAGGTATGTTTTGTGCACTTTGGCTTGCTTAAACATTAAGAATAAGCTTTGGGTTCTTACATATTTTTAAGGCAATCCTCCCTGTTGGGGTGTGTTGTTTGAGCCTGCCGCTCGTCTGGGAAGCATTGATTGGCATAATGACTTTAGTGGGGGAAAAAAAAAAAAAACTCTTTCCACAATGGACAGCTTTGTATTGTGGTGTTCTTGTTATCAGGTTCAGACAACAACAAAGCAGAACATGAACATGCCAGCGACTAGAGTAATCCCTCCCTTTTCCTCCTACATCAGGTTTTGTCACCGAGTCAGGACAAAAACCCATTATGCTGAGATGATATACAAACAAATCAATTTTTCCCCATTCATGCATGGTTTCACAAAACTATTCCTCAAGCCCAGAGGAGCAGGCACGAAATTAGTTTGGCTGTGCACGGGCCGCTAAGAAACAAAGTGAGAATCATCGACCGTGGAAAGTGATGGTGAAATCGTCTTTTTATCAATGAGAGGACAGACGGAGTTAACTGTTCGCCCAGGATTTATCGCAGGAGACTAAATGAATGACTTCCTTTCTTTTTGCCGGTCCTCAAAGGTTAAATGGGTATATCCTGTCAACCCCTTTCCCCAGTTCAACCATAAACATGGCCTTATTTGGAGCTTGCACAACTCCAAAAAGGAACTGCGCAACTTAAGAGTCGAGTAAGGTCAATTTAAGTGGCAACAGTTCAAACTGAAAGTACAAGAAGGAGGCTTGTTTCGGTCCCAAAAGCCAGAAAAACAGAAAGCAACGTTTAAATTAAACTTGCGCACATAAAGAGCATCTTTTCCGCTTATAGTGTTTAGTTCAGACAAAGACCTGAATCCAGAACATATGAGGATTCATTGAGGAAACGGAGATGGGGTTCATCCCCAAAAGAAGCTCCACATTACAATTCCAACTATGGAGTTTCAAGATTCTTTTTTTATTTTATTTTTTAAATATGTGAGAACAAAGACGAAAAAACAGCAACGGAAAATTCATCCATCCATCCATTTTCTGTACATCCTTGTGGGGTCGGGAGCAATGGAAAGCACTAACAGTATTTAGTCAGATGGAGGATTAAATCCATCAAATGTTCAAATGTTACTGCCCAACATTTGAACATTGTTTTGCATTTCTTTTTGTGCCCAACTTTTAGGTCGTCTGCCAGGGAACGTTTCGCATCAGCTGCATCTTGGCTTCTACCTGCCACAGGGACGTCTCACAGCCACTTGACAGCCTATTAGTTAAAGCAATTCCCTGTAATGGACTCATATATTGCTGTTAGAAAATATATTTAATCTTATATGGACGAGATAAATCATATCCACTAGGGACAAAATGACACCGTTCTGCTCTTGAAGTCCTGCTTTGAGATTTGTTGCAACTTGTTCCCGACACCTAATTTTGCGCAGAACTTTGTTCCTGCGTGGTGTCTGACAAAATGTATTATGCGTAAGTGGCCCAAAATGACACCCTGCATGCTGCAGCCCTAAGGCCATGACGAGATATTCTGCACTTGAGTTATTGTACATGACATGTCCTGGTCAACTTTCTACTTGTTGTAGCCACTTTAAATAAAAGAGTGAATTTCTCAAGACTCAATCTTTGTCTTGAGTCTGACTTCCTTGTATATTTTTAGCCGACACTACAAGTAGGCATCTTTTCCTTCTCAATCAACAATTAATTGTATGTTTTTTTGTTGTTTCTTTTTAAGACAGGCAAGCAAGCATAAGTAATTAATGATTTATGAATGTTTGCTTCTAACTAATCACGTTGGATCATTGCAAGCTTTCACTAATAAACCTCAGTTTGTTGTACCTAACTCGCTTTTTTTTTTACTTTGTTTCTGCTCTCTGACCTATCTTACCTTGTTGCACAAATATACATCGTCATTAGATCGTTGGCACTGTTTGTTTGAATAGTGACTGGCAGAAAAAAAAGAAAGAGAGACGGAGAGGGAGTGTGTTTATCGGAGCTCCAGGAAATACCAGGACAGACACACCGGCTCTCCAGCGCTTCGAGCTCATGTGACTGGAAGCACACAGGCCAGATTGTTTGCATGTTTGCTTGGGGGTTGCGATAAGAACATTTGGTTTCAAAGAGAAGTAGAAGAGCATCAGAATGCAACTTACCACCTTGGGTTAAATCAGGTTTGGCTGCTGGTTTGTAGCCAAACTTGCTTTTTTTTTTTTTTTAAGCAATCAGCTCATTATCATTATTATATGTTTTGCCTTTTTCCTCATGCGCCCCGTTACTTGGTGTAGTGCCAGTGTCTTCCTGCTCTCATTGCATTAACATAATGAAGACGCAACTCCAGTCTGTAACCTTGCTGCTGCTCAGCACTATTTACAGTCATTTACGCCCAAAAGCTGTAAAAGCTGCAGCTCGACTCACTTTACTCCTGCCGCATGACTCTAATGCATCAGTGTGAGTAGATTTATTTATTTACACTACGCGCAGAGATTTATTTATACTATGGGAGAGAGGTAAAGCACAGTGAAAACTGTGGCACCAGGTGATGAGTAATGATGACGAGAATCATGAAAAGCTGTCATGTCGTCTTAAAAGGTAATTGAAATCCAATCCAGTGGCTATTATAAACTCAGAGTTTGGATGGCAGCACAGTTTGCTCTCTCTGTGTTTCGTACCTGGCATGCAGCTAGCCGGTTGGCAGGAGTTTATGCTTTTTTTTTTTCTTTTCTTTTTTTTTTCTGCTTTGATAGTCTCACGTTACAATTAAAATTTCACACGGAGGCCTTTATCGATGTCATTAAGCATGTTGTCCAGCAAAGAAATAATTAAAAAAAATAAAAATAAATAAAGTGGGATGAGCCAGAATGAATAATTGATATGTCGTTTTCATGCTGAGGGGACTCCTCTCATCTAAACTCAACACGGTAGCGCTCTCTCATTCGACTGGCTAAAGCAAGGTCAGTGCCTTAAGAGGCCTTCCTCTAATATCCAGCAGCAATTAGTGGCTGTGGCGCGGTGGGGTTCACACCACGCTACTATTTGTCAGGGGAGCGACCACAGGTAGTGATTTCCTGCTAATTCGTGCCATCGCTAAGCAAAATGAAGCACTTAATGAGACAACACAGTGGGGCTCGCAAAGGCTCTGGGTCAATTTGCTTATTTGCCAGTTTGTGCCCTCGTTTCTTACCCACGTGCAGTTATTTTGTCTGTGTCTATTTTCGTTCCGTATCCACGAAAACACACCTTTGTGTACATGCTGTGAAAGGATTGTGTGAAACCGTATTGTTCTTTGTAGTTAAAACATCATCATGAATTGCTGCGACGGATCGGAACGTAATACTGCATGGCTGCAAAGTGGAGGCATGATGCTTCTTGGTATTCAAATGCTCTTGCAAATAAAAGTCGGCAAATTATGACACGCATTTGCATTCAGTAACCCTGAGTCAGCCATTTATAGAACCATATTCCACTGCTGCAAGTGTTTGGAGGCATGCCTCTACCAGCTTGATACCTATACAGCTGATTTTTTATTTTTTATTTTGCCCAATTTGTAAAAAATAGTTCTCCCACTCATATTTTGTATGTATCCATGCATTTTTCCTATGCCCCCTACATGACCAACAGCAAACTGCAAGTAAGACTCATATCTTTTTTCAAAGCAGAGCAACAGCAGCATCAATATGCTTAATTAGCAAACGGCGAAAATAGCTTTTCAACTGGTACAAACATGTTACTTAAATGCTAACTTGCGTCAATCATCTCCCCTTTTTGCAGTGATAAGCCCTCAAATTGGCCCACATTCTTCCTTCGGGACGATGAGCTGCGTGGTCGGAAATGGTGAAAACCGACCAGTCATGATCGTATCCAAGGAAACAGGTCCGTCTGAATCTAAACACAAAGGGAACAGTGAACTGAAACAAAAAGCCCTAATAAAACGGTAGAGAGATGGACAGTGAACGAGCTGGCGTCAACTCCTTATGAGTCAATCCATTGTGAGGCACACAGCA